TTCCTGCCCACAAAACGGGAGCTGTTGTTATTATGACCGCCAGCACCATCATTACGGAGGGGCCCAGACCTCCTCAGGACTCCAGGTTCTTTGTTAAGGATTCTGTTTAGACGAGCCCCTGACAATCCTTGGGCGCTTTTCCTGGGGAAGAAGATAGGCCTTCCAGAACTCGCTTTTTGTTTTTTTTTTTTTTTTTTTTTTTTAATTCCTGAGAGACACCGAGAGAGAGGCAGAGACACAGGCAGAGGGAGAAGCAGGCTCCCTGTGGGGTGCACGATGCAGGACTCGATCCCAGGACCCCGGGATCACAACCTGAGCCAAAGGCAGATGCTCAACCGCTGAGCCACCCAGGGGCCCCCCAGACTGCTTTGACTCGGCCCTTGGGATGAACAAAATCCTAGGGTGCAGTCCCACCGTGGCCACTGGCTGTGTGTCCTTGGGCCAATCATGGCATCCCCCCCGGGTCTCTGTTTCCTGGCCTGGCCTGCACGATGGGGACCGCAGAGATGTTGGGAGGACTCCGTGGGACAGTAGCTGGGCAGCTGGTCATCCGGGCAGACCTCTGGCCCCCGAGGGTGAGGGGCCGCCAGCCAGGCCAGCCTGGTTCTGGTACCGGTCCACTCTGTGTGACCCTAGGCAGGCTACATGACCCTGCCGAGACCCAGCTTCTTGTCAGGGATAATCAATCATCCCCAACCTCCCCAGCCTCACCCCAAGCAACCACTCAGGAAATCAGCTTCCACTCTGCCTCTTACCCTCGGGCCTAAAGAGGTTGTGTCTCAAGGTCAAGTAGCGGATGAGACGCTTAGGCAGGGAGAGAGGCTAGGTCTTTAAGACCTCATCCCATCCACCTGAGCTCAGCCCTCCTCCCCGACTCACTTGGAGGCTCCTGGGCAGCCGCCAGCTGCCTGCTGCATCTGAACTTGCCAAAGTGATGCCCCGCCAGGGAGCCCCCCAGCCCCCCAACTTAACACGCCATCTGGAAACACCCGACGAAGGAAGTGCTACAGATAATTTTCCCAAAACGGTAAAATCACGACTCCTATGAAGATATAAAATGAACATGGGTCAGATGTGGTAACCGGCTCCAAGAGGCAACAGACCATTCACATTTATAGGCCAGAAAATGAAAATAAATGGGCACATGGAGGGAAAACCAGTTTTCCACAAGGGGGGGTGGGTGAAGGGGCCTTTACCAGACAAGACAAAATTGGTTAGTTACCTACAATTTACAGTTGTAAAATAATAATGCAAGGCCTGGCTGGCTCAGTTGGTAGAGCAAGCTCCTCTCAGGGTTGAGTTCGAGCCCCTGGTTGGGCGTGGAGCCTACTTCAAATTTAAAAAAAGAAAATAAAAGCAAGCAAGAAGCAAGAAAGGAAGGCTAGAATCTGATACCCCGGAAGGGTGTGCTGGAGGCAGACATAGTTTTCCACTGAACTATGTGTTTTTTTTTCTGCAGAAGGAAGACCATGAACAGGGTGCACTCCGTGGTCTCTAATCTGATGATCATTCACCAGATGAGTATGACTCACACACTGTGAATACAAGGTCCTTTCTTTATCTTTATCTTTTTTTTTTTTTTTTAGAAGGTCCTTTCTGAGTGAGTTGGGGACATCACTTCTCACTTGCAAGCCAGAGGCCTACAGCCTAAAAGATGAGTGGCCCAAGACGTTTACAGATTTTTTCAGCAGGATTTTTTCTTTTTTTTTCTTTTTAAAGTATAATTGATATACAATATTTCCGCTGGATTTTGGCATCTGTGTTACACAATGGGTTCTAGAACATTCTAGAATGTGGGTGTTTGTGATGTGGATCTGTGACCTGTAATTTACACTGGACCTGGTCTGGTACTGACTCTGCTGCGCAGCCCTGGGCAGTTACACCATCTCTCTGATGTGCAGCTTCCTTGTCTTTGAACTGGGATTTTTAAAAAAAGATTTTATATATTTATTCGTGAGAGAGAGAGAGAGAGAGACAGAGACACAGGCAGAGGGAGAAGCAGGCTCCATGCAGGGAGGCTGACATGGGACTCGATCCCAGGTCTCCAGGGTCATGCCCTGGGCTGAAGGCGGCGCTAAACCACTGAGCCACCCAGGCTACCCTGAACAGGGATATTAATAGTACCTACTTCATAGATCATTAATTTTTAAAAAATATTTTATTTTTTTATTCATGAGAGACACAGAGAGAGACTGGTGCCCCGGGAACTGTATTTGAAATTATTTTTTTAAAGTGGACTCCATGCCCAAAGTGGGGCTTGAACTCAGGACCCTGAGATCAAGAGTCACATGCTCTACTGACTGGGCCAGCCAGGTATTCCTGAGAACTGTATTTTATTTTATTTTTTAAAAAGATGTACTGATCTATGAGAGAGAGAGAGAGAGAGAGAGAGAGAGAGAGAGAGAGAGAGAATGCATGTGAGTGTGGGAGGGGCAGAGAGAACCTTCAAGCAGACTCCCTGCTGAGTGAAGAGCCCAAAGAGGTGCTGGATCCCAACACCCTTATCACATGACCCTGAGCCAAACCAAGAGTCAGAAGGTTGGCCGACTGAGCCGCCCAGGCGCCCAGACAACTGTATTTTAAGTTGATAAAACCATTTCGCTGCCAATGTCCTGTGGTCACTGGGGTTCTTTCCCTCTCAGCCCAGCCTTCTGTCTCCCGCATCCTGACCCCCTTCTCCTCTCCATTAACCCCTATTTCCACCATTTGTGTCTCTAGCAGAGTAAGGGGCAGCATTCAGTTGCCTGGAGGGGGCTGGGCACCCCTGGGCACCTCGCTATGGCCTTGGGCAAGGGCGACAGGCAGGAAGGCTCCATGTTACCGCAGCGGCCTGCTCTCCTTTGTCCTCGAGATGTGCTTGCAGAGTCCAGGCTGCCGGCATCGGCTCGGGGGTGCAGCGTGAGCGCTCCTGGGTGGGAGCGTCCACGCAGGTGGGAGCTGGGGCGCAGGAGGAACTGTCTCCCAGCGCCGTCTCCCTCCAAGAGGGTGTGTTCCAGCTGCGCGGCCACGCGCCTCTCCACCTGTCCCATCCCGCGAGGGGCCGCAGGGATCCTTCCTATCTCGCGTGGGAGAAGCTGAGGACCCCACGGGGGCGTGAGAACCTTGGTGCCGCGGGCTGAGCGCCCAGCTCGCTGGCCCATGCTGCCCCCTAGTGGCTGGGCACCGCACCTGCCTTCGGGAAGTCCCGGTCACCCAGGGACCCGCCTTCGGGGCGCCCGGGCGCGGGGTGACCTCTAGGACTCCCACATCGCTTTAGCAGCCCCTCTCCCCGTCCCTGAGCATTAAATATGCTTATGCACATGCTTAACTGTAAAATATACATAACACGGGGCAGCCCGGGGGGGCCCAGCGGTTTACCACCGCCTTCAGCCCAGGGCGTGACCCTGGGGATCCGGGATCGAGTCCCACGTCCCGCATGGACCCTGCCTCTCTCTGCCTGTTCTCTGCTTCTCTCTCTCTCTCTCTGTGTGTCTCGTGAGTAAATAAAATCTTTAAAAATATATGTACATAACACAAAATGAATCATAACCATTCGAAAGTGTGTCCAGTTTAGTGGCTTTTTTTTAAAGCACCATCGCACTGTGGTTGCACCACTTCCTCCAATGGTTTCCAGAACACTTTGTCCTGCAGACTGAAGGTCCGTACTCCTCAAGCAGCTCCCCATCCCCGCCTCCCTCTAGCCCCTAACCAACTGCCCTTCTACTTTGTCTCTCCGAACTGGGCTCCGCGGAGGACCTCTCAGAAATGGAATCATTCGGTAACGGTCTCTTTGTCACTGGCTCGTCTCACCTTGCAGAAAGCTCCCCAGAAGTGTCCCCTGATGGAATGATTTCTAAACGTGCTGCCTAGAAGACAAGAGCATCCCCAGAATTTCATGCAACACCGGCCCCCCAAACACAACCAGCCAGGATTAGGCCAGAACACGAGGCATCATAGTGCAAGGTGACGTATCAATGATAGGAAAAAACCAAAACAAGCCGAACGTGGTGACTAAGAGGACAAAGTGGTCCCTGGCAGCCAGGAACAGGCTGGGCCAAGTGGCTCTGGGCCAACTGTAAAAACGGCCAGCACCTGCCCTGAGCCTCTGCCACCTGCCCACCAACCCCTGCTGTCGCGCCACCTCCTGGATATAAATGCATCAGACCTCCTGCTTCCTGATGGCACACGGGGCAAATCCTCACCTCCCTAAATCCTCCCCCAAATCCCTCGGAGTCCCAGAGTCCCAGGAGTCCCTCTAACACCCGTGTCCTGAGAAGCCCGTTTCCCATGCCCTGTTGCCTCCAGTGCTGCAGCGGGCACGGGAACCCCGGCTCCGTCGCTGCGGGCATGTCCCCCCAGGTCTCCGACGTGCATCGCAGGGCCAGCGAGGAACACTAAGGGCCACTGGCCAGCCCTGGGCCAGAACCCTCACCGCCCCCACTTCTTTCTTCCGGCCACAGCAAGCCTCTGTGACAGATGTCAGCATCGTTCCCATTTTACAAAGGGGAAGGTCAAGGCTCAGGACTGACCGCTTGTCCGCACGACGTAGCAGGGGCAGGTCTAGCACCGCCAAGGCCAGCGCTCCTTCCTGCCACCGGCCTCCTCTCCGGAGCTGGCCAAGCAAGCCCGGGTGTCGGCATCCTGTTCGCGTGCAGACAGCACATCCCGAGGGCAGGTGTTGACTCCCCGAAACGGTCTAGTGGGCCCGGAGGGCCTCGCACCGCAGAGGCTTCCCCCCAGGGCCCCGCGGCCCACCCAGCCTCGCTCCCGTGGCCTGTGGCCAGGGCCAGGGCCCGGCTCGCCTGGGGTCGGCCGCGGCAAGTCTTCATCGCTGGGCATGAGGAGGGACCCGAGTTCGTCCACCTGCTGAGCTGAGCCCCAGTTTGGGGGAAGGAGGTAGAGGCACCGTCTGGACACCGTCATGCCACAGAGAGCGGACACCCAACAGAAATTTCCCCAGCTACCGCCAAAGGCCAGCACGCGCCTGGGTGAGATCTTAGTCGGAACAGATGGAGTTCTAGTGGGTATGCGTTTATTTTCATGTGTAATAGGAAAAAACATAACTAGCACATAAGACGTGGCTGCAGGATACATCGTTCAGCATAATTCTAAAGTTCGAAATAAGTAAAAAGTATGTTGAGTCAAAGAAAATATGAAGGAATAAGCGAATAGGAGGTCCTCGGTTACGACAAATATTGTGGAGGTGCTTTGTGAATGCCTGGAGCTTGGGACTCACTGTCCAAGCTCTGGGCCAGAAATGGGGCTCAACAGGGAGACTCTCCCGGTGCTCGGAGCCCAGGGCCTCCCCACAGGGGTGTGTGGTGCGTCCAGACCACCCTAGGGAGGAAGGCACATTTTGTTTAATTTGTTTATGCCTTACAACATGTCTTAGAAGTTACAAAGCAACAAAAGTGATTTTCCTTAAAAGGGAAGAAGAATCTTCTAGGTACGGCCTTGAAGGAACAGTGGTTACAGGGTGGCCTGGGTTGGAGGGTCGAGGGAGACACAGGGGGATAAACAGGGAGGCTGAGGGGACACCCCAGCACTGTCCTGGAAGATGCGTGCGCATGTGTGGGGTTTGTGTGCACAGCCCCAGTCAAGGCTGTAGGAGGAACATGCACAGCTCCTGTACCCTGTTCCCCAGCATACAACTGGCACTTAATCAATGCTGAGTCACTGTCGCACCGGGAGGAGCGCCAGATGGCAGAGCAGAGTGTGGTCACTGATGTCCCTGGGTATCAGCATGTACCACCCTCTCCTCCTGCTCCTGTCTGTCGTTCAGGTGCATACCTCGGTCTGGTCCCCATGTCAGCATGACATGTCCTCCTGGACATGGGTGGGTGAGAAGTCCACAGCTGCCACCACAAGGTCACATTCTTGTACATTTATGAAACGTCCTATTAAGATCCCCACCTTGCCCCAAATCCAAAGAATATTGCTCATCATTTAAACCTCAAATTTTTAAAAAAGGCTTTTTAAGGGACCTTGGAGTTTACTCAAACAGCTCGGTCCACAGGCCATGGCTGGTCTTAGTATCCCCTAGGGGACAGCTAAAGTGTCATTGCTAGGGACACAGGGTGTCATCTAGAGAACTCACTCTAACTCACCCATGAAATGGGGGTCAGGGCCAGTGCTCAAGCGGGGCTGGAGCCTTGGAGATGGGAACCCTGGGCATGAGGCTGATGGTATGGAAGCCTTCCAGACACAGAGGCCAGCAGGAGGAGCGGCTGCCAGCCACCCACCCGTGAGCTGGGAGGGGGCTGGGGTGGCTCAGCCCCTGCGTCCCAGACATAGTGGGCAGAGCTGCAGGCTGGTCCCCGTCCTGGCTCAGAAGGAAAGTGTGCAAGAGTGGGTCAGAAAGGCAAACTGAGTCAGGAAAGCTTCCCCCCACCCCCCCTCGAGTCCAGGGCTAGTGGGCGGCTCACGGCCCCAGGGTCCGGAAGGCACCCTCAGCAGCACCCTGCAGCGCTCCGCTTCACGTGGCACGGCTTGCAGAAGAGACGGTTGTTCAGGGGGTAGCAGCCTTGGTCCGTGGGCTCCACAGACAGGAGGATCCTGCAGTCCTGCGGGAAACAGGGCACAAGTGGATGGACCCTAGGCCTGAGCACGGCAGCTTGGAGCCCATTGGCCAGAGGGGACCCCAGCATTTGCTGATGAAATTCACCAAATAAATGTACTCCCGACAGGTGGGGAACGTGGCCCCACTCCCATTCTCCCAACACACCTGGGCCAGGTCTCGGTCAGGGAAGACAAGACACGTGGGGGCTCTCATCCACACGGAGGTGTGAGTGATGAGGGCAGAGTCAGCTGAGGGGGACAGCTGAGGACGCTCAGAAGATTGTGGAAGGAGCTAGAAGGGCCTCACCAACCACTCAGCGGCCCTTTTAGAACGTGAGCTCTGCGAGGCGGTAACCCCATTTACCACTAGACCCCACCTAGACCAGGGACTGGTCCACCACGAGCAAGCGATAAACATCTGCTTGGTGAATAACTGAATCTGGTCCAGTCCCTCCATTCCACCGATGGGGAAACTGAGGTCTGGGGAGAGACGGGCTTGCCCCAGGCCATACAGCTGATTCCGGAGCTGAGGCAGGACAGGTCTCCAGCCCGAGTCCAGGGGTCTTTTCTGCAGCGGTTGAAGCTCCCCCATCTGCACAGCTTCGGCACTGGCACAAACTTTAATGTTTCCAATTTTTCCAATCACCCAAGGACTTCGGACCAAGGAGGACGGGGATTCGGGGCCCAAACTTTGCCCACACCCCATCAGGGCCTCCCCTGGGCACACGCTGGATAGCAACGACGGGAACAATTAATGTCCAGGTCTGGACCTGGTACAGGGCGCGGCTGGCAGCCTCCGGAAGCCGCATGGATCAGACCAGAGGGGCTGCTCCCCACCGGGACAACTTTGGGGTCAGGCCGCGTCCTGACCCGGCACAGCGGGGGAGAAGGGCGCCCTCGTGTGTCTGTTCCCTGCAACTGCACCCCAAGTCCCACAGGGGGCCCGGATCCTGAAGGCCACTTGTGAGGCGTTCCCAGAGTATCAGGTGCCAAACCTGAGATCCCAGAGGGGGACATGTGACCTCTCCAAAATTAGAATCGAGGGAGAAAACACCGCCACCATGACCGAGTCGCCGTCTGGAGGCAGCTGTGGGGGGGCCCGAAGCCGGCTGGCCCCGGGTCCGACCCACAGGGCTTAGAGCCACTTTTCTCGGGCTCAGCCTTTTCCCCTGTTCCTCATCTGAGATGGCAACCTCGAAGCCCATTTCCTTGTCCAGGGAAACAGCACCCCGAATCAGTTCCAGGCCACGGCTCAAGCGTTACCCTCTGAAATGTAAAAGCCCTGACCTATGGGAGCAGCGTGGGTGACGCTCACGGCCGCCTTGGCCGAGCCCACCCGGGGCAGGCAGGCAGGCAGGCAGGGTCTGTTGGCTCAGCAGCTGGCCTCAGGGAGAAGCTAGTCGCCACCTGGGGAAGTCGAGGTGGTGATAACAGCACTTGAACGACATCATTGTTCTTTCAAGATGTGTTATCAGCTGGACCTCGAACCGGGAGCAACGCACCACGTCAACTTCTCCACTGAGTGCCCTGGCCACTGTGCAAACAGCCTCTTGGCTCCAGGCAGGTCTAAGTAAGTGCAAAGTAACATCGACGCTTGGAATTACTCACGGGCTGACTAAGAGATTTCCTCTGGACACCCCACTTCGGTGGCACCCCTAAAAGTTGCTACCTTTGTCACCGTCACCAAGAAGACACATCAGCAACATGGGGTGTGACAGGGGAAGAGGATGGGCAGGACTCAGCCTTCGCAGCAGGACTGACTATACTTGCAGAGTCCGGGCAAAGTGCAAAGTACAGCCTCTTGTTCAAAGAGGAAGGATTTCAAGGGTGGTGACAGCAGAGCTTGGAAGCAAGCATGGGACCCTGCTGAGCGGGGGCCCCTCTGCTGGGCATTTCTGGCTGGGGCTACTGCACCCAGTTAAGCGGCCTCCCCATCTCAGCCTCCCTCCACCCGGCAGCCTGAGGTCCAGACTCCTTGGCTTGGCACATAAGGCCCTCTCCTTTTCTCTGGCCTCATTGCTACCACACCCTTTGGCACACGACACTATAGACAAACCTAAAACTTCCCCTCTGATTCTCGAGGCTTGCTTGTGTCCCGGTGGGTTTTCAAAGGCCTGTGCCTCGGTCTGGACTTCCCTTCCTCCCCTGAATGCCTGGTAAGCTCCTGCTCACCTGTGGGACCCAGGTGAGGCACTGCCTCCTCCACCAGAGAGCCTTTGATGGCACCGCCCTGCTTGGACCTGATCACCGCCTCCTTTGTCCCAAAGCTGATTTATACACGCTCGTTCCCAGCACCTGGACAGGACGCCTGTGCTGTGCCTCTGCCCCACACCCCCTCTGCGCCTCTGAGGGTTCAGCGTCCCTGACCCCGGGGGGTTGTCAATCAGAGCTCCCAGGCAGTGATTGGCTCAGAATAGCCAAGTGACCCAAGCTGGGTCAATCAGAAGCCTTCTTGAGCCTGAACCGGTCCCCAGATGGGGTTCCTCAGTGGGAAGGGTGACCATGCCCGTATCCCTCTCCTCACCCAGGATGCTAGCCCCCAGGAAGTGAAAACGAAGCCAGCACGCAAAACAGGGAGAACCAAGAGATGGAGGGAGACCTCACCGACCTCACCGACCTCACCGACGGCCTTCCCATGAGATTCCCTTTCTTGAGAAAAGCAGGATGAGCTTGGTTTTTACCATTAACTCGGAGCTCGGGTCAATAGACCGTGTCTGTAACTGTCTCCATTCTTACGTGTCTGCTACTGGGCGGTGAGCACGTGGGAGCTGGGCCCCCCCCCGACTCGTCCCTGGGCCCCGGCGCCCAGCATAGGCCTGGCACCTGCAGGGCTCTCCACACAGCTCGGGGAGCCCCCACCAGCCCCCCCCGATACCCTCCCCCCGCGGCACGATCCTAGCTCCTCACCGCCCCACTCACCTCGCACCTGTAGCAATTCTCATGGAAGTTCCGCCCCATGCACTCGATTTTGAAGGCATCCTTCCCGTCTCGAGGGATGATGGGGTTCTCACAGATGCTGCACACCGGGGCGAATTTCCTAGAGGGAAGGGAACCCACGCTCGAGGCGCTGAGGCCAGGCCCGCAGAAACCAGCTGCGGGAGCCGGGGCGGCGCTGGTTCGGCTCCCCCCAACCCCCGACGTCCCCCACATCCCCCACCGCCCGGAGCTATTTCAGACGTGTTGCCATGTGACTGCACCTGCAGCCACAGCCACAGCCGCCTCCTTCTTCCGGGCAGGAGCGGATGGAGAGACGGGTGTAATCAGCGCCGCTTCCCAGGGTATAATTAGCTCGAGGCAAGGAAGTGACCGGGCAACGTTTGAATTTGAGAAAGTGGGGAAATCTGTGTGTTCCGTGGGGCTGACCCCCATTTCGTTTATCTTGTAATGTAGGTCACTGCTGCTGCTGCTGCTTCTCTTCCTTTCGAACAGAGACATGTGTCTCCCCTTGGGCAGTGGGCAACCCAGGGCAGGGCTGAGCCTGACCCCGAGCTTGGGGCTACTGCTTCCTAAGGCCCTAGCTCCACGGGGAGCTCCTGGGGTCTGGGGGTTTGCATGGTAACTTCCATACTTATCAGCCAGGCACTTGTCTGTTGCCTGCCTCAGTTTCCACATTTGGTAAAGCAGAATGCCTAATAGAACGTGCCTGACAGGCCAGTCTTGGGGATCAAAGGGCCCAACCCACGTGGGGTGGCTGGCACAGCGCAGGTACCCAGAGATTCAGCTACAAGCAGGTGCGCGGTCAAATACAGGGTGTGTGGAATAGGTCAACTGGTTTCTGAGCGTGGGGAGTGCAGGAAAGCTCTGCTCCAGCCCCGGGAGCTCGGGCCGGGCACCTCGGTTGTGGCCGAGTCCCACCCAGGGCGCGGACCCCTCTCGCACCTATAGAAGTCGTCCAGGCAGTACACTTCATCCTGACTGTCCAAGGCAAAGCTCTCGTCCCCGATGCACCGGGCACAGGTAACGCACGTGAAGCAGGTGGGGTGGAAGGCCCGGCCCAGGGCCCTGATAATGTGCTCCTGGACCACCTTGCCGCATTTGCCGCACTTCTCCAGGGTGTCCTGGGACAGAGGGACATTGCTTCAGAGCCATCCCATGGTTTTGCCCACTCCAAGCCGAAAGGGGTTTCTGGCTGGCTACCCACAGGGCTATGGGAGAAGGGCTCGTACTCATGCAACCAGCCTGTAACCCCCCCGCCCCCCAAAACCTCCATCGTTGCTTAAAGTGAATCAAGCTTGGCATTGTATCCTTGGCCTACAGTTAGCAATCCTGCCAAGAAACTATTACTGCATTTTTTTGTCACTAGGACATGCTTAAGGCCAGTGGCCACTAGGGGCCCACAGGACAGATTAAGAGATTTCTCTTAAACCTCAGAGTCAGAAAAAGAAATTCCTGGAAGAACTGGTGTGCTTTTTATCTTGTAGACAATACACCTTGAAACTCTTTCCCTTTTCCATTTGGCCACTTGGAAGCCCAGAGCCAAATTCCAGGTTCCACTTTTAGGACTGACTGTAGGGAGTCCTTTATTCATATATTTTGGGGTACGAACTTGCCCTCTGGTCTCATCTCACTTTCTACTTTGATTTTCCTCTCTTCTGATTTCTTGATCTATCTTTGAAGTTTCATTGTGGTAAGAACAGTTAGCATGAGATCTACACTCTTGACAACATTCTGAACACTCTTGACAAATATTGTTTACTCTAGGTATTTGTACATTCTTGTAAGCTGCCTCAAATCCCTTCTGGAATGAGAAGGATTAGAGGGGGTAGGGAAGAGGGAGAGGGAGAAAGATAGAGAGAGAGAGAGAGAGACGCAGGGTAAAGACCTTGCAGCCTGTCCACCTTCTCTTCTAGACAGTTCTCTTCCCTTCCTGGCTGTGCTCCTGTTCACCTACCCTGACTTCATAGCTATGCTGGTCTCCGCTGCTCCCATTGGGAGTATATCTGCTCCCATTTGGTGGGGACATTTCCCTCTCTCCTTGTCCGGGGGCAGCTCTTCCCTCCCTAGAACACCCCGAGTCTTCTTCCCGATGCTTCCAGCTGTCAGCCCTCCCTCGCCCCCACTTCCCCTCAGTGCCTCACCCCTGCCTGGCTTTAAGCTGAGGGAAGAGGATAAGGCTATCCCCTGCTGTCATCTGATGGGGTCAGAGGGATGGGGTGGGGACGGCCTGGCTCCTTGCTGTTCCCATGGTGCCTCACTGGCCGTGGTGATGTCTTGAGACTGTCATCAGATTGCTTGGCTTCTACCCGTTAGTCCTCCAAATCTAACCCTTCAAATCAGTAGTTTTGAAACTGGAGTGTGGATCAGAATCACCCGAAAGACTCGCTAAAAACGCAGATTCCCGGGTGCTACCAACTTACGAGGATGACGTGAGGCCTGTACACACCCGGGTGATGCGTCTGTGAGTGGTCAGTACACCACACGCCGTCAGAGGGTTAGCAATTCTTTTTTTTTTAATTTTTTTAAATTTATTTATGATAGTCACACACAGAGAGAGAGAATGAGAGAGAGAGGGGCAGAGACACAGGCAGAGGGAGAAGCAGGCTCCATTCACCGGGAGCCCGACGTGGGATTCGATCCCGGGTCTCCAGGATCGCGCCCTGGGCCAAAGGCAGGCGCTAAACCGCTGCGCCACCCAGGGATCCCTCTTTTTTTTTTTTTTTTTAAGATTTTATTTATTTATTCATGAGAGACACAGAGAGAGGGGCAGAGATACAGGCAGAGGGAGAAGCAGGCTCCATGCAGGGAGCCTGACTTGGGACTCGATCCCGGGACCCCGGGGTCACACCCTGAGCTGAAGGCAGGTGCTCAACCCCTGAGCCACCAGGCGCCCCAAGGGTTAGCAATTCTAACATCAATGCATCCAATCTGGCTCTCTCTCCCGGACTGCATTTGGCACTCAGAGGTGACACAGATTCCGTGAGACCTTGCATCGGAACGTGTGGCTTTAGGTGAGAGAGGTGAGAGCACAGGCAGGGTCTGGGGGGAATCCCAGCTCCACTCCTTTCCGGAGTGTGACTTGTGTGACAGGCCGGGTAAACGCCTCCAGGACATGCAGGGCCTAATCCCTGGAACCTTCCCTGGAAAGGGGCCTGCAGATATGATCGAGTGAAGTGTCTTGACATGGGGAGACGCTCCTGAGGGGGCCCTAAGTGCCATCCCAAGTGTCCCTGCAAGAGGGAGGCAGAGGGAGTTTTGACACAGAAGAAGTAGGACACTGCAGCAAGATGCCACCCTGCGAAGGAACCAAAGGATGCAAGGGGTGCAGCTTCAGGAGCCGGAAAAGTTAAGGAAACAGATTCTCCCCTAGAGCCCCTGGAGGGAGCGCAAACTTGCCCTTGGACTTCCGAGAATAAACGTGTGTTGTTGGAAGTCACCTTGTGTGTGGTACTTTGTTATAGCAGCCACAGAAAACGAAAACACCGTGGCTGAGCTCCTTCCCCTCTCTGAGCCTCAACTTTCTCACCTGTGAAATGGCCCAAGAACACCTGCCCCCCAGGATTCCTGTGGGGAATGAAATAATGGGACAGCTTCCAAGGGCCCAGCCCAGTGCCTGGCGCCCGGAGGCCAGCCTCGGTGGGGTGGCGGTGGCGGTGGTTACCTGGTAGCAGGCTTCGCAGAGGGGCCGCCCATCCTTCTGGTAGAAGCTCTGCCCGGCCAGCTGGCGGCGACAGGTGCGGCACGTGAAACACTGGGCGTGGTACTGCCTCTTCATGGCTTCCACGGCCAGCTCTCGGGGGGACACGGTCTTGTGGCAGAAGCCACAGACGTCTGTAGGAGAGGAGAGAGACATGGGTTGGAAGCCACTTGGCCTGGGAGTACTGCACCCAGGCACCCCCAGAACTCTGGAAGCCCAGAGTGCCGGGTCTCTGCCTCGAGCCCCGGGGGGTTGTGTGTGTGGCCTCATTTCTGGAGGAGCAGTAACAAGGAATGTGAACAGCCTCCGAAAGCCTAAATCAGGGCCGCCTGGCTGCCTTGCTCAGTGGAGCCTGTGACTCTTGACTCGGGGTTGTGTTCGAGTCCCATGTTGGGTGTAGAGATTACTCAAAAAAATAAAATCTTAAGAAAAAAAAAAAGCCTAAATCAAAGGACACAGCATCAAAGGACAAAGCATAGGAACAAGTGGGTTGCCATGTGTAAAAATTTAAAGGAGGCTCCGTTGTGACACCTTTATACCCAGATAATCCCAAATGTATCCAAGACCCAAGCGTGAAAAATGAAACCATAAGACTAGAAGACACCAGAGAATTAGATTATAACCTTGGAGTAGAGAGGACTCGTGGTGCCTGCTAAGCACTTACTAGCTACTAAGTAAGTGGATAACACACGGGGCTGGGGGGGCTGCGGGCAGCGGTGCCCTCAGACACTGCTGGTGGGGGTGCAGGTCCGGAGGAGCACAAAGGACAATATGGCAAAAAGATCAGAGTTAGAAATGCACCTACCCTTTGGCCACAGTATTTCCTCTTCTAGAAATTTCTCTCAGAAATTTGCACACAGGCAAAATGACCTACGTGCAATGCAACCCGTCTCAGCCTTGTTATTACAGCAAGAAACCACCTACGTGCCCGTCCACAGGCGACTGGCTAAATGCATACGGCAGGGCCCGACAGGGAATACTATGCAGCCGTGAAAACAAAGAGCCACTTATGCTCTGATGTGGGACGAGCTCTGAGATGATTGAAGGAAAGAAAGTAAAGTACAGAAGAGCACAGTTTGCTACAGTTTGTGAGCTGAGGGGGGTGTGGGGGGAGGCACGTATTTGCATTTGCTTGCATATGTGTCAGATATCTCTGGAAGGTGGGCGCCTGGGGGGCTCAATGGCTGGGAGTCTGCCTTCAGCTCAGGGTGTGATCCCGGGGTCCTGGGATCGAGTCCCGCATCGGGCTCCCTGCGTGGAGCCTGCTTCTCCCTCTGCCTGTGTCTCTGCCTCTCTCTCCTCCTGTGTCTCTCATGGATAAATAAATAAAACCTTAAGAAAAAAAAGATATCTCTGGAAGGATACGTTAACAACACAGACGTTAACAACAGAGGCTGCCCATCTGGCAGGAAAGCGGGGGACACAGGGATGCTGCAAAGGGGAGACTTTTCCCCGTATGCCTTTCCATGCTTTTTATCTTGTGTGCGTGAGAACATTGTGCGTTCAAAAAATTAAATAGTGAAAAGATTCAAGGCATCTTGCTATCATAGCACATTTTGCTGATCGATATTTAAATTGATTTCAGTTAGAGGCGCCCGGGAGGTGCCGTTACCTGAGCACTCGACTCCTGATTTAGGCTCAGGTTGTGACCTCAGGGTCATGAGACCAAGCCTCACATCAGGCTCCGCACTCAGCAAGGAGTTTGCTTAAGACTCTCTCTCCCTCTGCCCCTCCCACACCCTCCCTCGCTGTCAAATAAAAAAAATCTTAAAAAAAAACAAAACAAAACACCCCTAGCACCAAAAAATGGATTTCAGCTATAAAAGAAAAAGATGAAGGCAAGACACATAAAATTGATGTACGATTCTACGGCCCATCACGGAACAGTGAGTGAGGACAGAGGCTGGAGTCTCTGCTCTCCTAGTTCCCACCTGGAAGCTCATGCTTGTCCAGTGAGGGCCCCTGGGGAGCACCCAGAATCCTTCGGCCCCGAGCCCCTACCTGTGGATGCCTCTCTCTCGTGGAAAGCAGCAGGCTCTTCTGGGGCAGGCGGCAGCTCCTCCTCCGCGGGCCTGGGAAGACTGGGCCGAGGCTGGAGTGGAGGCCCCTCCGCCAGGGGCTGTGGGAGACACAGGGGGAGGGCAGGACAGGTGTTATCCAGTGGGGACCCCACTGCCCTTGGAGCTCAGCTCCTCCTCTGACAGCACCAGGCACAGTCAGCCCCACTGTACAGAGGAGGAAACCAAGGCAAGGAGAAGCAGGTGACCTAACGTCACTCGGCAGGACGGTTACAGCGGTGGCTGGGGCCCAAAGCTGCTGCCTTGGACTCCTGGGGAAATCTCCTGGAATCTTCCCTTGGCTGGAAATCCCTCCAGTTTCTACAATGGGCTCTGCTAAGGGCAGAGGATTAGAAACCTCTTCTCAGAGCTGAAGGGAGCACCTGAGGGGGAGGAGTTACGGCAGCCTTCCTCCAGGGACCTTGAAAACCGTGTCCACCTTTAACAGGCTTTGGGGTCTCCAAGAGGGACAGCCCCCAAGCAGGAGCAAGCTCCAGTCTTAAATCCCCGCAGGCCCTGGGGCTCCGTTGGGGGGACCAAGGGGCTAGCAGTACCTGTGGTGGGGGCGGGGGCGGGGGCAGGTGCAGTTGCTCGAAGTCTGAAATGACCGATGCCCCCATCGAGGCAGGAGGCTCCTCATCGGGGGAGGGTGGCGGAGGTGGGAGGAGGTCCAGGTCGGGGAGCGCGTCCTCGCCATCCAGGGTAGGAGGAGGCGGAGAACATCCTGCAACCAGAAGGGGAGAGAGGGTTGGCCTGAGCCTCTGCAGGTGGACAGAAAAGGTGCCCACTTACCAGGAGGCCATACGGTGGGGGCGCCAGGAGCTCAGGTCCAGGGTCACTCACACCTGGTTCCATCTCAGGCTCCTTAGGTTCCTTAGGCAAGAGACTTAATCTCTCTGGGTCTGTTTGCTCAGTTGAAAGGTGGGAATCAATCTTTCCAGGCCGTCGTGAGGATGGGACGGGCTGGACTCAGAAAACAGGCATCAGAGCCCTGCATCACAGCACGCCCTTCCTGGGCGCTCGAGGGCCCCGATTCCCTGCGAGAAGGCTCCCAACAAACTCAACCCCTAAGGCCGTGGCTCTCGGAGTGTGGCTCCTGGCTCTGCAGCAGCCAGCAGTGCCTGGGACTGGGTCAAAGATGCACCTTCTGGGTCTACCCCAGATCTGGAGAATCGGAACCTGCAGCAGGGAGGCCCAGCCGTATAGAGCATAAGCAGCCCTCCCAGGGACTGTCACCCAAGTGTGGGAACCACCACCCTGGTTAAATAATCGATCCTGATATCAAGTGTTGAAAGCATCAAGCTAAATGTTGATGTAGAATTTTCCAGAGGAGGGTCAGGCTGTCACCACGTGAATGCACTGATTAACCCCAGCAGGCACCAGGGGTCTTCGGGCTCATGTTACGCTGTAGGCAGGTACGGGCACACCTAAGAGATGTTCTTCCAAAGCAAATCCCAAGACACAAACAAGAGCCAAACTCAATCTAGTCAGGTCTCTAGAATTAACTCCACTTAGGATAAATTCGGAAAAGCAGGTGAGTTGAATGAGGCCTCAAGGAAGCAAAGGGAAACATCAGAAACTGACCCCACTTTCTTCAAAAAGGCAATGGCATGCAAAAAAAAAAAAAGAAAGAAAGAAAGAAAGAAAGAAAAGAAAAAAAAAGAATGGGGAATTAAAAGACTGGAATTAAAAGACTTTAGAGAAAAACGACCATACAGAGTTCATATATTTGTTCTGTCTAATAAAGCAGCCACCAATCCCGTGTGGCTATTTATTAAGCACTTGGAATGTGGTTGGTCCACATCAAGATGTGCTGGAAGACCCAGGACTGAAAAAAAAATATGTAAGATATCTCACTGATAATTTTCATTACTGCTGAAATGATCATTTTACTGTCTCATATGGCATAACAGACATTAAAATTATTATTTTTTAAGATTTTATTTATTCATTTGTTTATTCAGTCAACCCAGGCATCCAGACATTATTTTTTTTAATATTTTATTTATTTATTCATGAGAGACACACAGAGAGAGGCAGAGGCACAGGCAGAGGGAGAAGCAGGCTCCATGCAGGGAGCCCGATGTGGGACTCGATCCCGGGTCTCCAAGATCATGCCCTGGGCCAAAGGCAGGCACTAAACTGCTGAGCCACCCAGGGATCCCCCTCCAGACATTATTAAGATTAATATCACTTGGGGCAGCTGGGTGGCTCAGTCAGTTCAGTGTTTGCCTTTGGCTCGGGTCACAATCTTGGGGTCCTGGGATTGAGCCCCGAGTTGGGATCCCTGCTCAGCGGGCAGTCTGCCCCACTCCCATGCTCTTTCCCTTTCAAATAAATAAATAAAATCTTTAAAAAATTAATATTACTTACTCCTTTTACTTTTTTTCCCATGTGGATACTAGAAATTTTTGTTTTATTTTTTTAAAGACTTATTTCTTTGAAGAAGAAGGGGCAGAGGGAGAAAGAGAGAGAGACTCTCAAGTAGACTCCTTACTGGGCACGGAGCCCGCCTTTTTTTTTTTAAATTTTTATTTATTTATGATAGTCACAGAGAGAGAGAGAGAAAGAGAGAGAGAGGCAGAGACACAGGCAGAGGGAGAAGCAGGCTCCATGCACCAGGAGCCTGACGTGGGATTCGATCCCAGGTCTCCAGGATTGCGCCCTGGGCCAAAGGCAGGCGCCAAACCGCTGTGCCACCCAGGGATCCCCGACGGAGCCCGCCTTGAGGCTCGATCCCAGTACCCTGAGATCATGATCTGCACCAAAATCAAGAGTTGGATGCTTAACCAGCTGAGCCACTCAGGCGCCCCTAGAAAAATTTTAAATTCCATTCCATGGGACTTGCGTTGGTGACTCATTTTTTATTTTCATGGGCCAGCTGACATAGGCTTTTTTTTGGATCCTGATTCCAAGGACTGATCATCTCATGGATTCTCATTTTGTAGATGAGGAAGAGTGAAATATTCCACTGAGTATACAAGAAATATGCAGGGAATACAATACGAATACACAAGAAAAGACACTGCGAACCCTTCATTCTGCTACAATCCAACACTCGAAAGGCATTTTTATGGTACGTCAGGGAGAAGTAATTACGGAGGAGTATTAGACAATCGTAAGGCAACCTTGTTAACTCTGTTAGGCGCTGTTTGGTGCTGTGGTTCTGTAAGAAGCTGGCCGTCATTGGAGGTCTACCCTGAAGAAGTGGGGCTGAAATGACCCGATTACTGGGGTTTCCCTTAAATAACTTCACAAGGGGATCCTTGGGTAGCTCAGCGGTGGAGCGCCTGCCTTTGACCCAGGGTGTGATCCTGGAGTCCTGGGATCGAGTCCCACGTCGGGCTCCCTGCATGGAGCCTGCTTCTCCCTCTGCCTGTGCCTCTGCCTCTCTCTTTCTCTGTGTCTCTCATGAATAAATAAATAAAATCTTAAAGAAATAATAATAAATTACTTCACAAGGGGCACCTGGCTGGTTCAGTCAAATGTCTGCTTCGGCTCAGGTCATGATCTCAGAGTCCTGGGATCCAGCCCCCTCGCTTCTTCCTCTCCCTCTGCCTCTCCCCCGGCTTGTGCACTTGCTCTCTTTTTCTCTCTCTCAAATTAATAAAATCTTTTAAAAAAATTTTCACAAACGTAAACAGGAAAATAAAAGTGAAATAGGTGATACGGAAACAACAAATGTTGTCGAGGATGTGGGGAAGGGGGGACCCTGTTGCATGGGGTGGGAATGGGAACTGGTGCAGCCACTGGAGAACAGTGCAGAGGGTCCTCAAAGAGTCAAAGATAGAGCTGCCCTACGACCCAGCAATTGCACTGCGGGGATTCACCCCAAAGATACAGATGCAGGGGACGCTGGGACACCTGCCCCCCAGTGTTCCCAGCAGCAGTGTCCACAACAGCCAGACTGTGGGAGGAGCCTCAGGGTCCTTGACAGATGATGGATAGAGAAGCCGTGGCCTGTGTACAGGGGGCATCACTCAGCCGCCAGAAACGACGACCACCCACCACTAGCTTCGATGAGGCTGGAGCTGGAGGGTGTGATGCTGCGTGAAGTCAGTCAGTCGGAGAAGGACAATGAGCATATGGTCTCACTCATACGGGGAATATGACATAGTGGACGGGATTGTAGGGGAGGGAGGGGAGCTGAGGGGGAAACGTCAGAGGGGGAGACAAACCACGGGAGACTCCTGACTCTGCGAAGCGACCAAGGGGCAGTGGAAGGGGAGGCAGGCGGGGGTTGGGGTGCCTGGGTGATGGGCACTGAGGGGGGCACGTGACAGGATGGGCACTGGGCGTGATGCTGTATGTTGGCAAATCGAACTCCAATAAAAAAAATACAAAAAAAAAAAAAAAGAAATAGGTGAAACAACGTGGCAAAATCAGCAGTCATGGGAACTGGATGCCAGGGAGGCTCTATTTCTGTGTATGTTTTAAAGATTCATTAAAAAAAAAAAAAAGAAAAAAAAAAAAGGACCAGGAACGTCTGGGAGGCTCAGTGGTTGAAAGTGTGCCTTCGGCCCAGGGTGTGATCCTGGGGTCCCGGATCGAGTCCCAAATTGGACTCCCCGCAGGGAGCCTGCTTCTCCCTCTGCCTGTGTCTCTGCCTCTCTCTATCTGTGTCTCTCATGAATAAATAAAATCTTAAAAAAAAATTTACAAAAAATTTAAAAAAGGACCACTCGGGGCGTCTGGGTAGCTCAGCCAGGTAAGGGTCCGACTTGATTCCGGCTCAGGTGGTGATCTCAGCATCGGGCTCTGCACTGAGCCTGGGCACGGAGTCTGCTTAAGATTCTCTCCCTCTGCCCCTGCCTCTCCCCTGCTCTCTCTCTCTAAAAAACAAAATAAAATAATAAAATAAAATTTAAAAAAGAATCACCCAAAGCCAACACACGTACACACACGGGGAAAGGACCCTGGCATGGTATCAGCTTCACGAGTAGCGCAGGAGAGTTTAACCCCGGCTGGGAAGCAGGGTCCCCGGGGCCCCCGGGCTCCAGACCCGGGCCAGAGGGTGGCTGAGGTTGGCCCGCACCCCGGCTGCCCCGGCAAGGCCGCCAGCTCCCCGGGAGGAGGGCGCGGGGCTTCGGGGGAGAAGCCCGAGTGCGGCTGCGAACCTGCCCCGAAAACCCTATGGGGCAAGGCGTCCACGCCTGCCCTCCACTCGCCTCCCATCTCAGGCCACGCAGGGTCAGGCCACGCAGGGTCACACCGCTCAGACCCCCAGGAAAGCAGACGCCAGCGCCCCCGCCCTGAAGACCCGGCCTGGGCTCCCGCTCCCTGCGGATTCACTGGGGCGCCTCCCGGGCCTCACGTTTCCTGTCCATCTGCAAAGATGACGAGCCCCTTCCCGTTTCTCCCAAGGCCCGAGGGACTGTACAGGTGGGAGGATTATTCTAGACCTGTGAGTAAGCCGCAGAATCATCTGGGGGCTTGCTCAAATGCCGACGGTGGGCCGCACCCCCAGAGCTTCTGACTCAGCGGCCTTGGGGGACGCGCCTGAGAATTCACATTTTTGATCGGTTCCCAGGTGGAGCGGCCCCTGCTGGTTCAGACCCTGCTGCCGTCACGCCTTGAAGACCATAGTCCTCTACTCCCCAAGCTTCACTTGCTTGGTACCGCCCGTGGGCCAGAGCAACAGGTCCCCGAGTGCGCTCCCCAGGCTGGAGCATCAGCATTACCCCGAAAGGCGTCAGAAATGCAAATTCTCCGGCCCCACCGCGGACCTGCTGCGTCAGAAACACCCAGGGTGGGGCCCGCACACCCAGGGCTGTGTCTGAACAAGCCCCTCCTGGTGCCGAGGCTGCTGGGCTGTGAGAGCCTCGCTCCAGATGGGCTGCGGTGAGTCAGGAACCGGATCCCCGGAGGGGCAGCGGGAGCGCTCGGCCTCTCCCGGGACCCAAGGCAGGGGACAGGTTCAAGACAGAGAGAGGCCTGAGGCCCCCAGGCAGGGGTGCAGCGGGAGGAGCAGACTTTGAAAGAGAAGCCAAGAGAAAAACGGACTCCTGAAGTTGGTGAGGCCGTGGAAGTCCGCGTGAGCATCGAGGGGGGCGTGGGGACCTCTATCAGGATGAAAGGGCTGAAGAAATGGGTGTGGATTCCCAGGGGACAAGCCCCAGCCGAGGTGTCAGATGACGGCCTGCAGCAGAGATGGCTCTGAGCAGCTGGCAGGGCCCCAGGGCCCGCTCTGTGTTCTGCGGTCAGACCCGCGACCAAGCGGCTCCCCTAGATCCCGTCCCACTCAAGTGAGGCTCAACCCCGAGATTCCCTGAGCTGCCAAAATGGCAAAGAGGATGGGGGACCAGCCCACGGCTGCTGGGCGCCCCCACCCAGGGGCGCTCTGCTCTCATTCCCTCCCTCCAGGAATCTTCCGACGGTGATTCCAACAACCCGTGACAACGGCCTGGAAATGTTGGCATCTGGGCATCTAAACTATCTACCCTGGACTCCCCCTACTACCCAGAAGGGTCTTCATTTTTTTCCCACTGGATCACACGTCGTGATGCGTGAATTCCGGTCATCGTGGTCCTGGTTGGACATGGAAGTACCCGGAGGAGGCCGTGTTCTTGGGGTGTGTGGTTGGGAAGGAAAGATCAGTCTACAGGGTTGTGTCACACGAAGAGGCAGGTTACTCGATCGTTCACGTATTCCCACACGTGTACACGCACGGCCCCTTCTCCGGCCTCCCCGCATGGGCAGTTCCTATTGGTCTTCAGGTGGTTTCTGGGGGGATGGACGCACAGGGCTACCCTAACTTTGCTCGGGGACAGCAGGACATCTGACTCGGCACCCGGGGACCTCAGGGGGCTCATCCTTGATGTCTCTGTGCCTCCTTATTCCACCTGGTGTCCTAGTAGGTGAGCCATCTCCCTGCCCCAGGCCCCTGGGTTGTCTTCCTTCCTTGCTTCTACCCAGCCAACAGCTAAGGCTCCACGGAGCAGAGTCTCCAAGGCTCTTCGTCACCACGCCAGCAGGCCCAGGCACCAGGTAAAGGTACAGCCATGTACGAAGTATATCCATTCTATGACGGATGTATGACATACATGACCAGATTTCCACTTCCCAGAGGACAAAACCAAGCAAACAGACAGCTGGCCTAAGACCACGCAGCAAGTGGATGGCAGAGCTTGAGAGAGAATAAGACCCCCTTTGAGGTCCTTCGAGATGTTCGATTCATTCCTGCCTCAGGGCCTTTGCAGTCGCTGTTCCACTGGCCATCTCTATCCTGTCATTCAGGTCTTAGCTGAGCTGAAATGTCAGCCCCTTGGAGAAGCCATCCTGACCATCCCATAAAAAGTTGGACCTCCCACCTCTTCACCGTGTTTTGTCCCTGTACAGCATTTGTGTCTCTCTCTCCAACATTATATATTTTTGTCATCTGTCTCCCTCACTAAGATTTGAGTTTCATGTAGGCCGAAAGCCCTGTCTCTTTTTCCAGGTCCCTAGTGTCTTACCCAGAAGAGTGACAACTGGCAACACATCTAACACTTTCTACATGACAGGCGCTGGCCCAAACTTATGCATTAACTCCTCCAGTCCTCTGAGGAAGGTACTATCATTACGCCTATTCCATAGGTTAGGAAACTGAGGAACAGAGAGCTTAGGTGGCTTGCCAACATCACACAGCCAAGTGGAAGAGCCAGGATTCAAACCCGCGCGGGTGGGTTTGAGGGTGCTGGCACGTAGCAGGTGCTCGATGACTGAGTGAGTGGCCTGCCCCTGCCCCAGCCTCCTGCCCAGTCCCCTGGCCCTCTTACCTCCGTTGGAGAGCTGGGGTGGTACAGCTGGCACCGCGGCGGCCACCCTGGCAGGGGGGGTCCAAGGGCTGGGCCTCCCTGTCGCGCCAGCCCCGGGAGCCTTGACGGGAGCAGCAGGTGCCCAGGGGCGGCCCGGCCGGGCCTCACAGGCTGCCCGCCTCACCTCCTCAGCCACAGCCACGTTTCGACGAGGCGGGGCCAGCGTGATAAAGACAGACGAGGCGACCCTCTTCTCAGGCTTTGAGGCCATCGTCTTGGTTCCTGGTGGGGCTGTGGACAGAGGGGGGTTCAGGCTCGGTGGGGGGCTCAAGGCACAGGGATGTGTCCCACCTAGACAGACAGACAGACACACGTCCCCGGGGCGTGGGGCCTCCCTTCTCCTAACAAGACAGGAGCGGCCCGGTCCGGACGGAGAAGGGCTGGGGTGTCGTGTGGGGGAGGGCAGGTGTCACCTGGCCAACGGTGCTGCACACGGGCCCCTCCCGCGACCGGCACACCCGGGGAAGCAAAGGGCAGCCCTGCCCTGCTCGCCCGCAGATGACTGTTCCTCATCTGAGAGCTGAGGAGGGTCCCCGCCTGCCACTGGGCCGCACCCCGGGATCCATTCCGGGGAGGTCGAAGCCCCGGGGGTCCCTGGGGGCCGGGCCAGCCCTGCGGGGGAGGACGCGGCCTGGACTGTCAGCGCCCTGGGCTGGGCCTCCGGAGGCAGAGGGCAGGGGACCAGGGCCCACCCCAGGCGCCGGCCCCCAGCACTTTCTGTCCACCCAGGCCCGAGTCCTGCCGGCCACAGGGGGCAGTACCTTCCCGGCAGGTGGGGAGCCCAAGGCTCAGAGACAGAAACTCACTGGTTCGGGCTCACACAGCAGCGCGGCTGGGATTGGAGTCCAGGGCCCACGCTCCTGACCACGGGGCCCTGCTGCTCCCCCAGCCCAGCCCACAGCCAGCACCTTTTTTTTTCTGTATCAGCCTCTGCATCCAGTCAGGCCTGGATTCTAGAATCTTTCAGCCTGTCCCGTCTCCAAAACCAGGCATGGGGGTGGTGGTGGCGGGGGAGCCCTGGTGGTCTCCAGTCCTGCTCCCGACCTGTCCCTGAGTGATCCTTCTAGAGCATCAATCTGTCTCTCCCCTCCTGAAAAGCCTTCCATGGCTTCCTGCTACCTTCCAAATGAAGTCCGAATTCCTCTGGCTTCAACTTGTTTTCTTTTTTTAAAAGATTTTGTTTTTAGGGGCATCTGGGTGACTCAGTTGGTTAAGCATCCAACCCTTGCTTGGGGCTTAAGTCATGATCTCGGGTCATGGGATCGAGCCCACTCTCTCTCCCTGTCCCTCTCCGCTTCCCCCACCCTCTCTCCCTCACTCTTTAAAAAGAGGGGGGGAAAAGATTTTATTTTAAAGTCATCTCTACACCGAACATGGGGCTCAAACCCACAGCCCTGAGATCAAGAGTCGCACGCTCTTCCGACTGACCCAGCCAGGCGCCCCTCTACTTCTTTTTTGACCACCCGGGACCATTCACCCTTTCTCGACCTTCCTCTTGCCCCCTTGGAGAGTCCCTCCCACCCCCCCACCCCCACAGGTTTTCCTCCCCTGCCCCCCCCACAGGGCGATTGTCAGCTTTTTCTTGGAGGCCCAGCTCGAACTCTCCTCTCCATGAAGCCTCCCCTGATTCCCGACCCCTCCCGGGGGCAGCTGTCTGCTTCCACAGGGCGATGACAGCCCATCACAGGACAGGTTGGCTTGCTGTCACCATGTCTGTCCCTACCCCCCCAAGTGACTGCATGTGACTTCAGCTGTGCCCGCAATCTTTGTGACCCAAGTCCTGTGTAGGCATCAGAGCCGGGATCTGGGAGCCGGGCGGCGGGCAGCACTCTCCTGACGTCAAGCAGCCCAACCACCCAACCACCGGCTCCCAGGTGGTGTCTGCAAACAGTAGGCAAACTGCCAAGGCCAAGGCTGAGGTGAGGCCATGTGGGTGGGGGGACGGCGAGTCGACCACATCCAGCCAGAGGTCCTCGCTGGGCGCCCAGGGCTGATGCCCAGGGTGACATCCCTCTAAGTCACTCTCCAGTTGAGCCACCCCGACGTGGCGCCGAAGCCCAGCCCACAGGTGTGTGCGGAGAAGAGTAAACAGGGACCTGGCGCGTGAATCTCAAGAAGCGGGGCTGGGTGGACGGGGTTGAGGGCTCTGAGGGACCCCATGGTGGGCTTGGAACCTACATGGCCACTCACGGGCCCCTCTATCTCAAAGTCCATTGGCCACCGTGGACTCTCTTGGTGATTGAAGGAATAATAGTAACAAACACAACAAATGTGCCTCAATTCCTCTTACATCGGTTTATATGTTTGGTTAAAACATACAGCTCAGGGGCACCCGGGTGGCTCAGTGGTGGAGCCTCTGCCTTCGGCTCAGGGCATGATCCTGGGGTCCCGGGATCGAGTCCCTGCTTCTCCCTGCTCGCTCAGGCATGACCTGGGTCCGGATCGAGTCCCTGATTCTCCCTCTGCCTGTGTCTCTGCCTCTCTCTCTCTGTGTGTGTCTCTCATGAATAAATGAATAAAATCCTTAAAAAAAATTAAAAATCTTAAAAAAAACCCCACATAGCTCACTCTGATATAAAATACGTCTTCTTAATAAGAAACCAACATATGAAGAGAGCTTTAAAAGTTTCCTCAAAAAAAAAAAAAAAAAGGAAAAAAGTTCTCTCAAAGGACTTTCCTTTTGTTTCTTGTTCCATAAGTGATGTTCGGAAGTATGTGTGCTTTCTTCTGTTGGCTGCCACGATCGTATGTCATGTAAAACCACGTTGTTTGATACTTTGGCTTTACAGTTTGTTCAAAGTTTAAGAGTCTATTTTTGTTTTTGTTTTTGTTTTTTTAAATTTTTTTTTTATTTATTTATGATAGTCACACACACACACAGAGAGAGAGGCAGAGACACAGGCAGAGGGAGAAGCAGGCTTCATGCACCGGGAGCCCGACGTGGGACTCGATCCCGGGTCTCCAGGATCGCGCCCCGGGCCAAAGGCAGGCGCCAAACCGCTGCGCCACCCAGGGATCCCAAGAGTCTATTTTTGTGAGCAGTTTTCAGAGATTCACATCCAAAAAACAACAGCAGTGGCACTAAGTGACCAAGCGCTTGCTGTGTGCCAGGCACTGTGGCACATGCTCTCTGAGCCTCACAATGCACCTAAATTGCTTCTCCCTCTGCCGGTGTCTCTGCCTCTTTCTCACTCTTGTGTCTCATGAATAAATAAATAAAATCTTTGAAAAAAAAAAAGGCACCTAATTTGCAACACAACCTGGTAAGTCCCTACTCTACAGGTGGTTCCAAGTGAGGCTGAGAGAGGTTAAGTGAATTCTCCGGGATCCCTGGGTGGCGCAGTGGTTTAGCGCCTGCCTTTGGCCCAGGGCGCGATCCTGGAGACCCGGGCTCGAATCCCACATCGGGCTCCTGGTGCATGAAGCCTGCTTCTCCCTCTCCCTCTCCCTCTCCCTCTGCCTATGTCTCTCTCTCTCTTCTCTCTCTCTCTCTCTCTCTCTCTCTCTCTCTCTGTGTGTGTGTGTGTGACTATCATAAATAAATAAAAATTAAAAAAAAAAAAAGTGAATTCTCCAGGTCATCTTAGCAGAGTTAGCAGACCCGGAATTCTAACTGAGCACCGTTTGCCCAGAGTCCCGGGGAGGGGGGTGTCCTTGGACCTGAGATGGCATACTCTTCCTTCCCTGGATGGTGCAGGGCCTCCAAATCCTCAGGCCTGTTCTCACCCTGGAATGGCCCGATCCGGATAGATTTCCTTGTGGTCAGTGCATTCTGGGCTCATCCCCAGAGGCTGTGTGGACGCCCCCTCCACCTCCCTCCGACCTCGCTCTGACCCCCACTCCACCCCAGCCCACCCCTCCGGGAAGTCAGATCTGTGGAGTTCTCGGAAAACATCCAAGGCAAACGTCCTGGCTCTGAGGCCAGATGTTCACAGCTGGGCAGCTCCACCCCCACCCCCCCAGGCCACCCCTCCCTGCGGTTCCTGCAGGGACTTCAGGCCCCAGGGGAAGGGGCCCCGCTGGGGACTTTCAAAGCCTGTCAGTTGGACCCAGGGCTGCAGAGAGAGGGGGCCTTGACTCCGCTCAGGTCCCACTGCCCCCAGGTCACCCCGGAGTGGGGTATGTGTGAGAAAGCTCCCTGTGTGGCTACTGGCCAGCCGCACCCAGGGGACCCTCCCCCCCATCCTTCCTCCCGCAGAGGGAGGATCTGAGATCCAGTTGGGTAAGCGGAGAAAGTGGGAACAAAGGGAAAGAAAGTCATTTCCTGTCAAGAGGAAGGAAGGAGGCTGAGATCCAGCCAGCCAACCACCCAGCCCGGCTTCAGGCTGCAGCCCTGGGCAGGGGACAGGCTGGCTGAGCTGCAGGGCCTGCCGGTAGTGCCCCCCTTTCCCTTCCTTCCTACTCCTTCAACCCCCTCCAAGAACTTCTGGAACCACCTGTAAGCTTTGTTCTTTGATACTGGGACAAAACAACCTATGCTCGGTTTGGAATGACTCTGCTGGAGGAGGGCATGAGACTGTGCCCGCCCCCGCCCCCCAGCCCCCCAGGCCCCCACCCCCAGCAGAGGACCCTGCAGCTTTAGGTAGGGGCTCCCCTTCCCTCTCTCCTTCCCTCTCTCCCACCTCAGGGAAGCCAAGGAAGCAGAGCTGGATTCACACCAAGCCCCACCTCCTTCCTGCTGGGTGACCCGGGCAGGGCACTGACCCTCTCTGGGCCTCCCTTTTTTCCTAAAGTGAGAATAAAAAAGTCTGTCCTGAAAGGTGCTTGGCTGGGGGAACACGAGGAGAGCGCGCTCCGGATCTGGGGACTCGGTCGGTGCAGGGAGCAGGCCAGCAGGTCCCCCAGCCCCCGACGGGGAGGAGCCCCCGGGGCGAGCTGCCTGGGGGGGGGGTGCTGGGAGGCCCCGGCTTGGCTTCCGTCCTCCAGGGCAGGAATCCGGGCGCTGCCGGGCTCTTCCCGGGACCTCGGAGCAGGGCTGGGGGAGGATCCCCGCACACCCCTGGCCAGCCCCCGGCGGGGCTGGAGGCCCAGAGAGGGGCGGCCCCGGGCCCTCCTTCCCCTCCCCTGACCCCGGCTGGGCGGGGGCCCGGCGCCCTCCCGCGAGCAGGCCGGGTCACCCCGGGGCGCCGCCGGGGTCTAATGCGATCCATGTGCGGGACGCGTCCTCTTTGTGCGGAGCTTCCGCCCGGCCCACTCCCCCCGGCGCCCCGCAGACCCCCGCACCCGGGCGGCCCCGCCACCCCCCGGCCCCGCCACCCCCCGGCCCCGCCGACCCCGCTGACCCCGCGGGGCGCCGGGGCTGGGGTCCCGGCCGGGGGCGCCGGGGGGCCGCGGCCCGCGCTGTCACCCGTGTGTGGCCGGGGCAGGGGCGCAAGGGCCGCCCCCCCCCCGCCCCGCTTACCTGCGCCGCCCGCGCCCCCAGCGGCTCCGCTCCGACGCCCGAGCCCGCGAGCCCCGCGCCGCCCGCGCCTCCGCGCTCCCCGCCCCTCGCTCCCTCCGCCCCGCCGCCCGCCGCCCCGCCGCCCCGCCGCCCCGCCGCCTTACCATAAAAGGTGACGCTCGGGGGAGGGGGCCCGGAGCCCCGGCGGCGGAGGCGGCCCCTACCTGCCCCCCCACCTGCCCCCCCACCTGCCCGGCCGCGCCCGCGCCGCCCTTTGTTCCCTCGACCGCTGCTCCCGCCCGCCTTTGTGCGCCCTGCGTGGTCCTTCCCCTCCTTCCCTAGGTCACCTGGGTCGGCCCCACCTGCCCTGTCCGGGGTGTGTTGGGGGGTCGATACCTACACCTGAGTCTGGCCTGAGATCTCCCAGGGTCCTAGGGGTCGGGGGACCTGGGCTCCTCCAGGGTCCTAGGAGTGGGGGGGGACCTGGGCTCCCCCAGGGTCCTAGGAGTCAGGGACCTGGACACCCCCAGTATCCTAGGAGTTGGGGGACCTGGGCTCCCTCAGGGTCCTAGGAGTGAGGAGGACCTGGGCTCCCCCCAGGGTCCTAGGAGTCGAGGGGATCTGGGCTCCCCCAGGGTCCTAGGAGTCAGGGGGACCTGGGTTCCATGGGGCCGTTCACTAACCCAGTGACCCTAGGCAGTCGCACCACCTCCTGGAGCCTCAGTTTCTTGTCTGTAAAATGGGGGTAGTGGCTGCTTACCTCTCGGGGTCAGCCTCAGGATAAAAGGTGGTAGTGACCGTGAGAACCGCTCTGGCAGCCAATGGGTCAATATATTCTGGGCTTGGGGCTTTTTTAGGGGTGACCCTGGGTGGGGGTCTCAGAGGCTCATCGCAGCAAGTCATCTGAATTTGCTGTCCTGAGCGGCTATCGCCACTTGTGTACACCCTCAAACCCTCTGCAGCGGGGTCCCTGTGTCCCCCTGGGGGCCCAGGCCCCTCCAGGAAGCCTGGTATGCAGCGCCCAGGAGGCAATCAGGTCACCTGGTTTGCCACCCGGTTGCAGTGTCCACCTCCCTCCCACCCCTGCAGTCCCCGGACCCAAGCCAGAGCGGAGCGGGGAGGAGGAAGCGGAGCCCGGGCCCCAGGACAGGAGATGGAGCCGGGATGGGGATGGGCCGTCTGGGTCCCCGGAGGCCTCGGGAACATTGCTGGGAAAAGGAATCTGGGTCTGATTCAGAGGCAAACAGATTGTTCTTTTGATTAAACCCACAGAGGCTGAGGCCAGAGGCTGGACCCAGCGCCATCTGGGGAGAGGCCAGGCAGGGTCTAGCTCACCCCTGTGGCCAGACCTAGGGTCCACCAGGCCAGATGGCTCTGGGGCGGCTCCTGAGGGGCTCACACTTGGGGGGGAGAGGGGGGCACCTGGGTAACCGGTCTCCTTCCCCCTCCCCTCCTCCTCCTCATCCCAGCCTCTCTGAATCCCTCACCCACCTTTGAACCTCTCAGCCTCCACGATACCAAAACAGTAGCCACCATGGCAGAGGCTTCCGATGTGCAGGCGCCTGACCTACAGCCCCCTCCATCGAATCTCCAGGACAGCCCCGGGCCGCAGGGCTGGTCATTCCTGCTTCACAGTTGAGGAAACTGAGGCCCGGAGAGGCGTGAGGCCGCAGGAGGGCCAAGTGGTGGCTCTGGATTCAAACCCAGAGGAACCGGTGCCCCTGGGTGCTGCTCTGCTGGTCCCGAGGCCCCTGCGTCTGCCACCAGCAGGGATGTGGAGTGAGGTTTCTAGAACCCCATGTGGCGGAGCAGAGGCAGACTCCAGGCAGACCCAGTAGCCCGAACTCTTGGTCGGGCTCATTCCCGGGCCTGCAGCGCTGCTAGGAGCTGCTTCTTGGAGCAGCCCCCGGAGCTTCCCCAGGGCCTTGGGAGGGGGGCGCTGCTGGCTGCCAGGGATGGGAAGGATCTTAAGGATGAAGGTGTGACCCGGGGTTTGCAGATACCATGGGTCTAGAACCCCCCCTTTCAAGTGCTTTGTAAACCAGAAGCTTATTTAGAATAGACAAAAATGAAGCTGCCCTTCCTCACCTCCATGATCTCCCCTGAGCCACCTCACTGCACCCCCAGGTGAGACAATGAGGCACCCAAGGGTTGATCTGGGGCCCTCGTCCGTCCAGAGCCACACCGCCTCCTTCTAGGGCCCAGGCCTCCCCACAGCTGCTTTAGGCTAAGCCTGGCTGGGGAAGGGGGAAGCCGAAGGGCAATGGGGGGTCCAGCTGCCACCACTTACCTGCTGCTCAGCACCTCTGGCCACGGGTTCCGCCTCCGTCGCTGCTCCTGGGTGCAGAGGAGCGTCCTGCTAAGGCGGTCCCGCACCAGCCCGGGTGGTGTCAGTGTCACCTTGGCAGGTGCCAAGCTTCCTGTAATGGAAACCCAGGAAGTGCACTGGATGGGAACACACGCCCTTTGTCTGCGAGCTCAGAGCGCCCCTGCTCCCCGCTCCCCTCCTGTCCTGCCAGCCCTGGGCCGGCTCTCTGGCAAGCACCGAGCAAGGGGGCTCAATCTTTTATTAGGGCTGTGGCAGCTGAGACCCCCGGTGGGGGTGGCAGGGAAGGGGTAGGAGAGAGTTTGGGGGAAAGACCCGGGGCAGTGTGGACGTTGGCCGCCGTCCAGTCTGAGGGGAGCGTGGCACCTACCGCCCGGAAGAGGGCTTCGGGGCAGCAGACGTCGGGCGGGCACCTACTCTGTGTTGAAGTTTTGGGATATAGGTGAGGCTTGGTGGGGTGAGGTCTGGAGCCGATGACCAAGAGAATTCTTGAGACGTCTTTGGTGCAAAATGGTGGTTTTATTAAAGTACAGGGACAGGCCCCGGGGGCAGGAAGAGCTGCTACCCCAGGGCCTGTGAGGGGTGGCTGATTGGGAGAGGTTTAGGGATAGCGTCCTCTCTAAAGAATTTGGAAGCAAGGTTTCTAGGACCTTGAGGGGGTTGGCTATTGTTGGGGAAAGGTCACTTATTACCGGCTAATAAAACCTGAGTCATGAGACCCTTCAGATGTTTATCAGTGGGTCTTGTGCTTGGGGGATGATTGCCAACATGGATCTGGGGGGGCTTAGAGATAAAGGAAATTTCTAAAGGAATTTTTATATGGTAAAGTAGACTCACAGGATCCTGGGGGTCGGGCTAAGGTTGCCTCTTGCCCTTAGCAAAGTCTGAACCTCAAGGCAGTTGAGTCCCTAGAGGAAGGTCCCTCTGCCTGTTTCAAGGACTTGTCAGTGTGCAGCCCCGGGCTCCAGCTTTGTCCTCAGCTGGCCTCTGTTGCCCCGTCCCTACGTGCTGAAACGAGTCAAGGAGCCCAAGGGAATCCAGTCAGACACAATCCATCCTTGTCCTCAAGGAACTTACGGGGCCGGGGGGGGGGGGGAGGAGGAAGGAGCAACATGTACCACAGATTAACAGGACAGTTACTACCAGTGACCATACTACATGGGGACATGTGCCAGGAAGGAGTGTGTGGGTGAGCGTAGGGAAGGCCTCTCGGGGGGCGGGTACCGTTCAAGCTGAGATGAGGAGGAGCCAGCCGTGAGAAGAACAGGGGAGGACGGTCCAGGGACGGGAGGCCGTGGGAATACATGGGCTTGGAGGTCAGCCTTGGGCTTAATTCCCAGCATTCTGGTGCTGGCGGTGACCTCAGACAAGCTCCTTCCCTCTCTGAGGCTCTGTTTCCTCACCTGTAACAGAGGGGAGGGGTGCCGGGCTGGTTCAGTCAGTAGAACATGCAACTGTTGATCTCAGGGTCATGGGTTCGAGCCCCACATTGCAGGTAGAGATTACTTCAAAATAAAACCTTTCAAAAAACAAAACAAAACAAAAACCCATTGGGGAACTGGACCAGATACCCTCAAATGGGATCGTGAATGGTTCCCTGTGCAGAACTGTGGGGACAGAGGCACTAGAAGGCCACCCCAGGGCCGGGCCCATCGTCAGTGCCCACCGATGGCTGTTCTCACGTCACCCTCGCCTGGTCTCCAGAGCTCGCTGTTCACAGTCCACACGCTGGGCAGTGAGAGCCCGGAACAGGGTCAAGGTTTCCGGAGCCACAGCCCCCACCGGCCCAGAGGCCTTGAGGAAGGGAAGCATCTGCCAGGTCAGAACTGTCAGCCCCAGGGTGGGGGATGGGGGGCAGACATACAGCTGCATGAAGTCACACATCCGGGTCGGGGCAGGGGGTCCACTTCTTGGCCAACGGCCCCAGAAGCCCCCCTGGGCCTCCCGGTCCTGGCTCTGCCCCTGTTCCTTCCTGCATCCCCTGCTCTGCCTGCTGGGAGTCAGATCAGTTCAGCACTTACTTCCTGAGCACCTACTGTGTGTGGGGCTGGGCAGGGGGTGTCGGGGTCCAGAGAGTGCCCCCACCCCTGCCCAAGCAGATATGAGTGAAACCAGCATCTGTGGGTGATTCCAGCTCCGCCACTTGTCAGCCAGTTACCTGGGGCCAATCACTTCTCTGTGGGCCTTGGTTTACTCTTGTAACCTGGGGGTAGCCCAGGTGAAAACCATGGTTTCACTGTGAGGATTTGATGGATGAATGTGGGTAAATATGCCCGGTGCTTGGCAGGTGGTCAGAGATGAGTTCCTTTCCTTTCCCTGGCGGTAGAGGACAGAGATCCACGGATATCACCGTGAGAGGAACAAAGTGCTTGGTTCTTCTTTTTTTCTTCTTCTTTTTTTTAAGATTTTATTTATTAATGGGAGAGAGAGAGAGAGAGAGAGAGAGAGAGAGAGAGGCAGAGACACAAGCAGAGGGAGAAGCAGGCAGGGAGCCCAGTGTGGGACTTGATCCCAGGACACCAGGATCAGGCCCTGGGCTGAAGGCGGTGCTAAACTGCTGAGCCACCTGGGCCGCCCTAAAGTGCTTGGTTCTACCCGAGAATCCAAGGGACATCCTGGTTCCAGTCAGCCAGCATCACTTTCCCGGATTCTGGTAACAGCATCCAATTTCTGTTTGAGGAACCCCACTCCCCCACTCTCAGTGCCTGGCTGGAACCATTTAGAAAGAGGCACCGTTTTTCCAGGCTGCCAGGATGCAAGCTTGGCACCATTTTTACAAGCACTTGGACCAACACAGAGGGCAGGGGAACAGAGATGAGAAAGAGGAGAGGTAACTGATCTCATCACTTGAGCTGCTGGATCCAGCCATGCCTGAAGTCTTCCCTCTGGAGCTAATGCATTCTCTTTTTTCTTGTCTGGTCTTCAACAGGTTAAAATGGTGTTTCTGTCGCAGAGTCATGGTGAAGACTGGTGAGACCCCATGGGCCTGGATCATCTCCTCCTCCTGGCAAACTCTGCATCCCTGTCCCCACTTTTGAGAAGCCTGTCCTGATTCCTCCAGGCAGGCTTAGGGGTCATGTCCATCCCGTGGTTACATCCCAAGGCTGCTCAGTTGCACCACTACGCTTTCCCCATGAGACTGGAAGCAAGGCCGTGTCCCATCACTCTCTGGGTCTCCAGCACGCAGCTTAGCGCATCTATGGACGCAGTAATTCCTACCAAATGCACCAGTTGGACTGGGGGGGATTAAGTAGCTGCATATGCAAATCATGTGAGAAGGAGTGATGGGCAGTGAGCTGTAAAGGGCTTGGGCTTTGGAGTCAGACCTGCTGGAATTTGGATGTGAAATGCAGATGTGCTCAGCTTTCTTTCTTTCTCAAGATTTTATTTATTCATGAGAGACACAGAGAGGGAGAGAGAGGGGCAGAGACACAGGCAGAGGGAGAAGCAGGCTTCATGCAGGGAGCCCGACGACGTGGGACTCGATCCCGGGACCCCAGGATCACGCCCTGGGCTGAAGGCGGCGCTAAACCGCTGAGCCCCCCAGGCTGCC